AAAGGAAGAGCTAGTTCGGCTTATTCTGCGGCTATGCATAGTCATGTTTACTTTGGTCATATTGGAGTTCGGCCATGATAAAACCATCTCACTTGGTTTAAGTAGTGAGGGGGGTGTTGAAGGATAAGCATTATCTTTCAGGAGTATGAATCCTAGGAGGACTCAGCATAGAGAAGTAAAAGTCCTACTAGGATTATGCCACACGAAACCTATAAAAGCTCACAAACATCACTTTTGGAGAGGTAACACACAACTTTGCTTTCTGAATACACAGAGCTTTTTTCTATTTGTCAAGCTTACTGACTTAGGCATCGGAGAGGTTTCCGGCACACACCCGCCGGCTAGCTCACGTTTGTGTTTTCAGGTGACAAAGCGACGACGTACAGAGGAGCGCAGACTTGATCAACAGAACTATACGAGAAGGTTTATTTCTTTCCCGTACAACTATGTACTTATTACTTGAATGTTACGTCCACAAACTATCTGTCCATAAAATAAGCCTTTCACATATGAATTGTGTATACAAGTAAAACCTCAAATTTGATCTACAACCATTTAGAATAGATGCTTGCACATGGCCCTTTCCAATGAATCCACCATACATGAGTTACCATAGAAATTTGGGGGGATATTGTTGCTTTTAGATAGCAAAAAATCCTATGATTATGGGTTCATCTGGCTTGTTTTGCAAGTGATAGAAGCCATATCGAAACATAACATTGAGTCTTGAGCAATGAGATCAAGATTTGGCTGTCATTTCACCAATCCTATGCTTGTTTACCTGTTTTTGGGTTTTAAGCCTGTTATCTATTTCACCCAAGGCCTGAGGTAACAATGTCAATCTATTAATTACGACTTCATAGATTTTAATGGAAACAGTTGTATTCTCATTGTCAGACCTAGATTGTGGATGATCTCAGCATATGTTTCATAAACTGAGTTCAGACAATTTTGGGCGCTACTCAAATTTCTTCAAGCTTGGATAGTTTTGTTCATAAAGACTTTAATTTGTGTTATTGGTTGAGGCTAGGTAGATGTGATCAGCTAGTATATGGATTTCTTTTTCCAGTACAGATTTAAAATATTCTATTGATGAGCGTTTGAAGGTTTTATTAGTAACTATATGGTAGGTAGTTCCCTAATGGAGTGATGGCCTGATTAGTATCGAGTGGATGGGATGTGGATCCCATTCTAAAAACCAGGTTGCCTAGGTTTTATGAAATGAAGGGGCACTTTAAAATTGTCATGACATCTTCAAATACTAGTGCCGTGATTTGTGGGTTCCAATTGTTATTTGTGATATAATCTGCTATGCAGGCTAATGTAGGTTGATGTAATTGGTAAAATATATGCCAAGTGTGCTCAGACTGAAGTTTCTTATGGAGGAAAAGTTAAGTTCTCTTTACTTCTCGTTTGTTGTTCATGAACTTTGTAGTCGAGCCAATGGTAAGTGTGATACGGCCTTATGGGTTGACATATGTGTAATGGAACTGAGAAGTGTGATCAAGGGAACCAGAATGAAACCCAACCTGAGAAAATTGCTCATTACCAAACTCATCTGGATTGCACCAACATTAGGGGATCAAGAATGTATTATTAATGCGTTATTTGGAAATATGAATTCTTTATCTATCACAAACCATAAATTGTGAAGTTGGATTTTGTCTAGACATTGAATAGGACACAAACAATCTGTAAAAGTTAAGAAAATAGATATTACAATGAGACTCATTACACGCCCAAAGGAAAAACACCCTTTGAGGAGGGAAACACAAGCCTAGCTTCTATACTAAAATCTAACAATAACAAACTCCAATGCTAGGCCAAGCAACAATCAACTAGGAGTCTTATGACTTGATTTCTTAGACTTGATAGAGAGGCTAAGCTCTTGAGCAAGTTTAAGATTAGCAATCCGTTCAAGGAGCTTTTTCTTGATTTCCACTTTTGAAGATGGGTTTGTCCATGAAACAACGAAAGTTCCATCCAAAAGGGATTGCAGAGCTCCTTTGGAACGTGAAGATTGTCTAGGGACTAACACATTTATATTACCCACATCCTTGACAATTTCTTTCTCTTCCTTTGAAGCCTCTTCATTCAGAATATCTTTTGAAGGGTTAGTCACTTCCAAAGAGGAGCAATTCGCATTAAGCACGCTTTTAAGATCCGCACAAAAAGAAACCTCCTCATTGGCTACACAAGTATTGAGAATATCAAATACATTCGATGAAGATGGAGGAGGTGTAGGAACAAAGTTACCCATAAGAGCATTAACGACGTCTTTGCCTTTTTTCCTTTTCACTTGAATTCATTCACTTGACTTGCCTTCGTCCTTTGTCTCGACCACTTCTTTGGCCTTCCACTCTTGTTTGAGTTTACTAGGAGCTTGAGTTATCAGTTTACTTGGACACAAACTTGTAGCATGACTAAATATTTTATATTCTCCATACAATTTGGGTTTCCAAGGAACTTTTACTATGATTTCGAATGGTTTTCCATATCCTAAGTTTACAACAAACGAGGATGGAATCTCTTTAGTAGCTTTTATCTCAATACAAAGTCTAACAAATGTTAACCGGCTATGGTTTTGGGTAAATTCATCAAGGTACAATGGATTACTGATAAAACTTGCTATGTAACTCAATCCCTCCTCAATCCACATTTCAAGCGGCACATTGAAAAATTGTACCCATATCGACACACTTGAGAAGACATTTTTAGTAAGGGTCATACCGGGGTACCATTTCTTAATAACAATAAATTTGCTCCCAATATAATAAAGACCCTCATCAAGAATGAATTTTAAAACTTCTTCATTTTTCATCTTGAATACAAAGTAGCCATTGTCTGAAGTTACAACCACTTCAAGATTTTCCTTCCATAACTTGTAAGCCCAAGTCTTCACTTGGAAGAAAGACAAATTTCTATCAATAAAATAACCCGCAAGAGCATGTTTCTATTGCTTAAACCCAATTCTAGAGACTTCCAATGAGATTTGAAGTTGATCGTTCTCATAACCCACAGAGTATCTCTTGAGACTTTTAACTACTTTCTTCTTAGTAATCTCAGATTTAAATAAACCACTCCTGGGCATAGAGATAACATTAACATTATGGGAAGAAGACTTACCTAACCCATTGGAACTATGGCTTTGGACCATTTTTGCTTCAATTTGATCGGATGAGTCCATAGCATCTGCTAACCCCTCTACACATGACATCTGAACTTGATCATGCTCTTTTGTCTCATTGTAGTCTTGCACATTTGTGGCCTTTGTAGCTGTCTCAATATCCCCTACTAGTCCAGGTATTGTTCATAGCCATCGTAAACACTAGACCCTACCATGGCATTGTAAATTTTAGGGGAAACACAATAAGTCTCTTCAATGTCAAAATCATCATGTTCAAACTCAAGTTCTAATTGCCTTTGCATATAGTCTGTATTATTCTAGTTTTATCATTGGCTTGATTTGAACTATTAGGGCTCAATTTCTTTTTCACCAAGCTAGATTGGAATTCTTTAAGTGACATTTTGAATGAGCTACCCCTCTTGTTTCTTAATTTCTTACCCATTTTCAACAAACAGATTGGGAAAAATGGGGAGGAACAACAATAGAAAGATTTGAAACTTGTAACATGATAGGTTGCAGCTCACTCTCTGCCTTTGTAGGTCATCGATTAGTGAATCGCCGGACAAAATCACCAGAGATCGTAGACGCTGGGGGTGTGAGTGCTGTGAGGAGGTCGTACGTCGTCGAACGAGACGATAGTGCTCGTGATGCTTTACTCTTCTTTTGCCATTCTCTCTCCGGCGCTACTAATCGCTCTTTGTTGCCCTTCTATGGCGACCTACACTGTCTGAACTCAATCCCAAGACGATTTGCTAAAGATGCTCAAAGACCAAGGTTATGTTGTGTCCTTCGATATCGAGCTTCCGTTCTAGATCTTCACTGCTCCCATTCTCTAATGTGGGTTCGTTTGATATTTAATTAAAACTCATTTTCTTTTAGTTTTCCATTTTTTCTTGTTTCCGACCAGAAGAGTAGAATTTCATAATGTAGTGTTATTGGGATCATTTAAAAAGATTGCAAGAACAGAAGGTGTGCTCGGCTTTTACTGGTGGAAACTCTATTCTTATCTTTATGATTTTTAGTCTTCATTTGGGAAGAGCTAAAATAACATGATTTTTTTGACTATTTTAGCCTAACTTTTTTTAGCTTCATTTGATTTTTGTTTTTGACTTTTTTGACTTTTGTGAGAAAAAAAATATAATGATTATGGTTTGGATGTAACATTTCGTCTTATTAGCATATATAGTAAATTTTGTCTTTTGTGCTTTTTTAGTCAAAAAGCCAAAACCAAACATAGCTTTAGCATTTTTTTAATTATGTAAATTTGGCTTGCAATTCAATCGAATTTATGCTTACGGAGCAATTTATCTTAAGAGGGAATGGAGCTAGTGTTGCTCAAATCATTCCTTATGTGGCATTGCATTTTACACCAAGGATCCTCTAGAGTTTTTTTTCCCTAAAATTTCCTAAAGTGGTGTGTTGTATGAGTAAGATTTAATGCTAAAAAATTGATGTGACTTGTCATTAAATCTTAACCATACAACACACCACTCTAGGAAACTCTAGGAAAAAATAACTCTAGAGGATCCTTGCTCTGCATTTTATGGCTTATGAGCAATATCGCCGCTGGAATATAGAAAATTTCCCTGGTGTTGGAAGGGGCCCCGTCCTTGATCTTGTGGCAGGATCAACAACTTCAAATACAAAAATATGATTTAAAATGATGTGATACATACATTTTTAATATTGTAAACCTCAATTAGGAGTGTTCAATTATAGAATAAGAGAATGAGCCACATTAATACATTTGAAAATTTCATATAAAAATCCTATTAACATTCCGTATAAAAATTTTATTTGTGTAGATATTGTTTGGTAATATTTTACAGTTAATCATTTATATATGTTTATATTTATTTTTGATAGAGGAAAATAACAACAAATTTAGCTAAACAGCACATAGATTTATACTAATAGATCAACTTCAAATAGCCATAGCAAATGTATTTTCACAAATCATTTGGCTCTCCAAAATAATAATAATAATAATAATAATAATAATAATAATAATAATAATAAGTGTGTTTGGTTTGAGTTTTTTGAATTAAGTTTTTTAAAAACTGAGTTTTTTAGTTTTCGTATTTTTGTGTTTTTAGTGAATATTTTTAAAATTTTAAATATTTTTTTACTTTTTTAGATGTACCTTACTTAGACGTATCTAAAAAGTAAAAAATTTGTGAAAAATTATTTTAAAAAATTAATAAATACATAAAAATACAAAAAAAATGTACTGAGTTCTTATATTTTTTTTTTTTGTATTTTTGGTATTTAGTGGATTTTTAAATTTTTTTTTACAATTTTTCTACTTTTTAAATATATTTATATTATGTGTGTCTAAAAAATAAAAAAATTATTTAAAATATTTTAAAAATTCAGAAAAAACAAAAAAAACACGGTAAATAAAAAAATAAAATTTTCTGAAAAGTATTTTTTGAAAAATGAAAATAAAAGTATACTTCACAATACTAATTTCTCAAGGTTAGAAACTTATGGTGATTGTTTCAACAGCATATCCATTTCAGAATGGTATCTTCAAACTGTTTATCCCTAAAGCATCATTTTGTTGGTCTTATTCTCCATCTCCAGTTTCCTCTCCATCTCCAACTCCAGCTTCCTCTTCTTCAGCTCTTCATCTTCTTGCTGCACAATCACAACTCCGCCATGAATTCCAATTTTCAATGAAATCTAAAAAAAGCTAGACAAGTGATCAAACACAAGCAAAATTAAATTCAGGGAAGAATGCGAAAAATTGCGGATGAGGAAGAAGATTACCATTGCGAGTGCATCAAATCGACGATAAGCTCCAGTCAACCCAACCAGAAGTATCCCCATCAAAGCCACAATCAACACCGCAGCATTGGCTTCACCGTTGAAAACACGAGTGACGCATGGTAAGAATATACCATAGCGAGCGTAATAGTCAACGAAACTCTTCACAAAAGCCCTGCTCATCACTGCTTCTGTGAACTTCACGATACAGAACCAAAACAAAAACAAAAATGATAATCAAAATCAAAATAGATCGCTAATTCACATTACACAACAAAATTGAAACTTGAAAAAATCGCAGTGCAATTGTTTGAATACCTTCATATCCTGCAGGATTGGATTTTGAAGTGTTGTTAGCCACTTGATGGAGAAGATAATTGAAAAAAGAGGGAGTGTTTCCAGAGCAGCGGCGAAAAGATGATTGTTGAAGATGACATGGTCGTCGTGGCGGCGGAGGAAGGCGAACTTGGCGACGATGCCGATGATCAGAGTGAGAGAGTACAAACCTACGGAATGAAAAGCCATTCGAACCATCTTCATCGTTTTCTGCAATTTTGCGCACAAAACCTCCTTCTAGGGTTTATAGGACGAGGAGTGGTGCATTAGAGTTTTTTTTTTTCTAAAGTTTCCTAGAGTGGTGCATTGTGTGGTTAAGATTTAATGACAAGTCACATCAATTTTTCAACATTAAAACTCAACCACACAATACACCACTTTAAGAAACTTTAGGAAAAAAACACTCTAAAAGATCCTTGGTGTTATAGGACTGCGTGGTTGGGTTGGTTTGGAGATTGGACAGGCGCCCCGCCCCGCTCGTGTTTATCGTCACCTTTCATGTTCAAAATTTATTTATTTATTTATTCACTTTGTTTGTTTTGATTTTTCAAAAATATTTTTCAGAAAATTTTATTTTCTTATTTTTTTACTGAATTTTTTTAATATTTTAAGCATTTTTTTTTAAATTTTTAGACACGCCTAACATAAATACACATAAAAGTATAATTTTTGTGAAAAAAATATTTTAAAAATTCACTAAATACCAAAAATATAAAAAAAAATATGAGAATTCAGTATATTTTTCATATTTTTATGTATTTATTAAAATTTAAAATATTTTTCACAAATTTTTTACGTTTTAAATATATCTAAATAAGGTGTATCTAAAAAAGTAAAAAAATATGTTTAAAATTTTAAAAATATTTGCTAAAAACAAAAACTCAATTTTTAAAAAACTTAATTTAAAAAATTCAAACCAAATACACACATTATTATTTGGATTTAGAATTTGAGGTATTGTTTGTCCATATCTCAAAAACAAATTTTTGAGTCACATCATCTTATTTAAATCACATCACCTCTCTAACACACCACATCAAACCCAACCCAAACCCAACCCAAACCCACCAATAAGTCAAAAAGTGCACTTTTTTAGGACATCCCAAACCAACCGTAGTGGACTTTTTGGCTTTTTCGCTAAAATATGAATATATATATATATCACTAAAATTCCTCATTTAAAAAAAAAATCAGATTTATCAAACACATAAAAATTTTTAAATTTTAAAAAGTGAAAAAAAAAAAAAACTAAAAAAACAATTGTTACCTCAGCCTCTCTATGTCGAGGAAATGAGCGCTTTCGAACCAATTCACCACGGTGACCAGATCAAGTTGAAAATGGATCTTTGTCGACAAAATCAATGAGGTCGACCATTTAGTACTTAAGATTAGTTATTGAGGACAACCCACTTCACTGAATTTGATATTTTCAATTATTCATTAAGTTGTTTGAAGATCTTTCTAATTAATTACAAACTAGATTGGATGTATATATTACATAAAGACTAACATTATATGTATCAATTAATGTATTAACTAGTATATTAATTGATGATATAATACGTTTTTGATATTTATAATTTGTATAATGAGTGAGGTCAATAATAATGTCATAACTAGTATTGATACACTAATTAATACACTATTTCGTACATGTAGTATCACTCTTACATTAAATGTATGTTACTTTCATTTTCATTTTATTTTTGTATTGAAAATGCAAAAAATTGAGTGTTAGTATACGGTAGTACTATATGCACCAATTGATATATTAATTAGTATACCAATATGCCTTATGACATTATTCCTAATCTCATCCATTATATAAATTACAAATACTTAAAACCTATAAAATTATGTTATATCATTTATTAATAAATTAATTAATATATTAATTGATACATATAATATTATTTATTAACATAATATTGGGAAAGAATATAAATAATATTACTACTCAACTTTTGATGAACTTTACTAAGGGTTGGTTTGAGATGTTCTAAAAAAGTGCACTTTTTGACTTATTGGCTTATATGGGTTGAGTTTGGGTTGGGTTTGATGTAATGTGTTAGAGAGGTAATGTGATTTAAATAAGATAATGTGACTTAAATAAGATAGTGACTTTTTGTATTATTTAGTGTACCTCGAACCAAGCCTAAACCCATAGCCTATGGCTTGGCCCTAAAATATAATGAATCAAGCTGCCTATATGACTGGTAAACACGATGTGTAATTAAAATAAATAAAAATAAAATAAAATTTTTGTTATAAATGATATGTAATGTCAGTAGCAAATGTAAGATTCAATGTTCAAGTTTTACTCTTTTCATTTATTTAATTTTCTTTTTTTAAATTTTACCTAGAAAAATAAAGACATATAACATAGGAAGAAAGCATAGCTTGGACACCAACAATATAGATAGATATAGGTAGATTAAAAAATGTGTATTTATATAAAAGTGGAGTGCGAATAATATCGAATAATTTGGAAAATTAATTAAAAGTTAACTTTTAACTTTTAATTCATTTTGAGTCATATAATTTCTTATATTTTTTACACACAAAAAAATAAAAAAGTTCAAAAAAATAAACTTTTAACCAACTTTCAAATAAAACTCTCTAAAATTAACAATTTAATAGGCAGCTCTAACACATAAAATTCGATCCAATCCCCTTCATACATTTTCTCTCTCATAGGAGTGTTTTGAAAATTGACTTATTTAATAATTTTAAATTTTGTTATAAAAATAATGTTACCAAAATTAATTAAATAATTTGATAAATTATAAATTTTTTTTTGGACTAGTTTAATTATTTCCCCAAACGGGGCCTAAACAAAGCGAAGAAACGTTGGCCAGGACACATCCAGAGGTAAAGCAAAGCACTCACAAAGTCAATTACATCTAATAATCACAAATTCACAATTCCAAAACCATCCATAAAAATGCTCTGAATTTTCATCAATCAACAAAGTTTATTAAATTATAATAGAACCAATCAGCTTGCTTGTTTTCATTTTTTAAAAAATACTTTTCAGAAAATTCTAATTTCTTATTTTTCGTATTTTTTTGTTTTTACTGAATTTTTTAAATATTTTAAGTATTTTTTTTTTATTTTTTAGACACACCTAGCATAAATACACGTAAAAAGTAAAAAAATTGTAAAAAAAATCTTTTAAAAATTCATTAAATACTAAAAATATAAAAAAAAAATACAAGAATTCGGTACATTTTTTTTATATTTTTATGTATTTATTAATTTTTTAAAATATTTTTTCACAAACTTTTTATTTTTTAGATACATCTAACTAAGGTGCATCTAAAAAAATAAAAAAAAAATGTTTAAAATTTAAAAAATATTCATTAAAAACAAAAGAATACGAAAACCAAAAAACTCAATTTTCAAAAAACTTAATTCAGAAAACTCAAACCAAACACACTGAATATATTTTCAAAACTAAAAAGTAAAAAAGTTAACTAAAATATAAAAAAAAAAATCATTAAAAATAAACGAAAATTCAAACCAAAATACACATTGATTTTTTTTTTGAATTTTCATCAATTTTTATTAATTTTTAATATTTTAATTAATTTATTTTACTCTCAGCTGCATCTTGATTAGGTACATTTAAAAAGTATATAGAATTGATTAAAAGAGTTTTTAGTTTAAAATCCTTAGTAATATAATTTTATAAGATGAAAAACTTGTAATATTTTTATAGTAGTTAAAATTATTCAATATTTTCATAGAGAAAGAAAAATTTTAAACTCTTCATAGAGAAATTTCTTTTTCCATAGACAAATATTTCTATGACGAATCTTTCCTAATAATATTATTGAGCGATCTTAACTAAAAAGAAAAGGCATATTAGATCTTTTTTACTATCCAAAATTGGAGGCGAATATTTCACTAATTTTCCATTGATTAAAATATTAAGAACAATCTACTAAAAATAAACAAAACTCATAAATAAATTTAAAAATCAAACGAAACAGACAAATTTTCAGAAAAGAGAGATCTTGCTGAAATTCCCGACAATAAATACTTGCCCACATGTATATATATATATAATTTTGATAAGAAATTACAACACACGACACTCGACCCCAACCCTCTCGAGTTTGAAAGACCTGAATTATTTCAAACAGTTCTCCAAAAGAATCGATCGTTTAAAGACATTTCACGAAGCCAGTGACAAAAATCTATAACTTACCATTTCATGTTGAGAAAAGCTGCTCACCCAGAAAAATGGTAAATTATTTTTACCCATAATCAGAATGTGTGGCTGTGATTTAATTGGTTTCTGGGTAAAATTTATGTGTAAAAATTTTGAGCAAGTAGCATCACTATTCCATGTATTTAAACGGGGAAAAGTTGAGGATTATGAAAATTTTTTCATAAAAATAATCATAAAAAATTTATGATTCTTAGATTATCTTGATTAATGTGTAGTGCTTTATTATAAGTGCAATCCAAAAGTCACAAAGCTTTCATGATTATTTTTATGAAAAATTTTTCATGACACCTAGTATTACTGATTTAAACGATCTATCATTTCCTATCACTTGGCTTGGACCATCTTGAATTATTTTCCGCGACCTCTTCCAGCACCAAATGCAATAATAGTATACAATGGACATGAATACAAATGAGGTCTATGTAGTTAGAGCATCAGGGAGAGTTGTCCGAGCCCCAAGCAAGCACCTTTCCCCCAACATCTGGGAAATTCTCTTGTCCAGACAAGGCGCTGACCTTCCCATTACCATCTATTTTCACAGGGTATTTGAGAAGATGGCCCTGCAATGGGGTGAATTCCTCTCTGGTAAACTTCTTTCAGTTATCTTCAGCAATCTTGTTCACGCTATCGACGCAAACCAAACTTTCAGGCTCCTTGAAGCACTTGTTTAGTTTTCCTAGGTGCTCTGCCCAAAGTGACATTCTATATCCATATACCTGCAATTCAACATCAATCAAGCATTAAAAAATAGGTCTCTGCGAATGTATTACCATAATTATGACAAATGAAATGACTATGGAAAATATCAAACATTTAGAATGAAAATACCCATCTGGCCACGTGGATGTTTTTTCTTCTTAGCCCAGGTCTGATGGGATTGATATGCACCCACAGCTATCTCAGTGTCCCTTGAACCAGCCATGGATCGCTGGTTAATATTGGCAGACCCCAAAATCACGTATTCATCATCTACTATCATCCATTTGGCATGTAC